AAGGCTGTAGTTCTGGTTCCTGCAGAACGTCAGGGTCGACTAATGAGGATCGGGTGATTAAAATGTATCACGTGGCTGATAGCGTGTTGAATACTGTGAATATTGTTGTGCCATCAACTACTGACACGGATATCAACAGACCGTCGTCATATGGCTGAATGGCGTAAAACAACATTCGCTTACACAGTGTTTCTGTTTAGAGCCAGTCCTGAATCATATTAAAAGGAGACGCTCGACCCCTGTCGCTGTTTATTAAGAGCAATATTTATATCTGCTGATGCGGGTTACCGATAATATGGGCCGACCAGACATTACGGCCGGAGTGATACACGCTGTATATTGCCACGCAAAGGCTGAATATTAAACATCATTAGCGAACAAGCACCGACTTACAGTTTGTACGTTATTATAACGACATGCCTTTTGTGTTTTTTTACTATGAATTTATCTAAACTGATTTTGGAATAACGTCCCTCTGTTTTTTTCCAAGCCCGTTCATCACCGCAGAATCAATAGCACTTCATGCTATACTTCTGGTAGCACGCGATCGCGATAACGAAATTCAACATATCAGAATATCGATGGGGTTCGATTTGTGCGCCAGGTAATACAAGAGTGCACTGTGATATTTCGCCGTGTCTCCTACATGACATTTGGATATCGCATGTTAATAGGTTTCATTAATTCCTTAACCAATATAAGTGTATTTACTTGCCATATTCAATCAGACATATGGTTGACATTCCAGGTCATTCTCAGCTTGGTATTCACAATCTCGACAGCTCCACACACTATAAATGCCACACTTGTCCTACACCATGGCTGTAGAATATGTACTTTTTGTGAAACCAACCTAAATTATACAATAACAAGTTTAACTATCTCTATCCGCATCAGAAACCTGAATTAGAGGAGAGAAATGTCTTGTGTTATAAATAGAGTTCACATAGTTTAAATGTCAGTGCTTAATATGCTTAGTTTTTTTGTTTGTTTGTTGTTTAACGCCGCACTCAGCAACATTCTAGCTACATGACGGCGGTTTGTAAATAATCGAGTCTGGACCAGACTATCCAGTGACTGACGTAATGAGCATCGATTCACGAAATTGGGATACGATGACATGCATCAAGTCAGCGAGCCTATACGTACCAATCACATTAGTCGTCTCTTACAAGCGGGGCGGTCCGGTAGTCTACTGGTTAAAGCGTTCGCTCGTCACGCCGAAGACCCGGGTTCGATTCCCGAAATGGGTACAATGTGTGAAGCCAATTTCTGGTGTCCCCCGCCGTGATATTGCCGGAATATTGCAAAAAGCGGCGTAAAACCATACTCACTCACTCACTCTTACGACAAGCATAGTCGCCTTTTATGACAAGCATGGGTTGCTGAAGACCTGATCTACCCCGGATCTTCACTGGTATGACATTCTTAGTAAGTAACAAATACATATGCGGGCACTACAAACATACTTAATTTACTGACTATGTGAAAGGTGGGGGTTGGGCTGCAGCGAGTGATATAAGAAGTGATTTCTTTCAGAGAAGGGGGGAGGGAGGATAGCTAGGGTGTAAGTCGAGCGTAGATATTTATTAGTGTCTATATGGTTTACACAGTTTTGTATAGTATGTCTGGTCTAATTACGGTGATATGGAGCAACACTTGCATGCTGGAAGCATTAAATCGATGATATGTTTCTATGGTTGAAGAACTGATCTCTGCTTTACTATGGTTTCTGCTCAGAGAGAACCGGTGAAGTGATCAGAGTTCGGCCATTTGATATACTACAAAGTTCGCCAGACAGCATATTATCGCTGGCAGATTCACATGTCTTCATGGGGGGACGGAAAAGAAGGCCAAGGCGTGGGAATTATAAGGATTTGAAAAAGCCTAACAGCGCTTGGCAGGCGTTTTTCCCCTTAAAAAGATTCTAAAAACTAACCATAAATTGACCTGACGCGTCAGTGACCTTCCATCCAGAGACGTCCACCTACTCCGTGGTGTAGTGGTGGGGCTTTTGCCCCTGGAGAGTGGAAGGTCGGTCATACCATATAGACGTTACAAGACGGTACTTGTTTCCCTCACACACACACACACACACACACACACACACACACACACACACGCCTCTTTCAGTCCTCAGCATTTTGCACTATGTCTTGAAGGCAGGCTGCTGTTAACAATTTGTTTGGTTTATATAATTAATAATAAATCGTTCGGGGATGAAGCTGGTGGGTGGGTTTCATGTCCAGTGATATGTAAAACAGGCATATTAATTTAGCGATATTTAAATTTGTATTAGTCAGGTGGGGAATACAGGTGAAAATAGGTGCAATAGGACCACTACTTGCCATAACAGATGTCTAATGATTGGTTGGTTGGTTTGTTGTTTAACGCTGCAAGCAGCAATATTCCAGCTATATGACGGCGGTCTGTAAATAATCGAGTCTGGACCAGAAAATCCAGTGATTGATATCATGACCATCGATCCGAGCAATTGGGATCGATGACATGCATCAACCAAGTCAGCGAGCCTGATCACCTGATCCCGTTAGTCGCCTCTTACGGCAAGCATGGGTTGCTGAAGACCTATTCTACCCCGGATCTTCACGGGTGAGATGACTAATGAGGAGCGTGTGGTCAGGATCTTTTACTTGGATAACTGTGAGTGAGTTTGGCTTGCCGTTTTGAAATATATGTTAGTCATATATCACGGCGTGTCAGCTTTGTGTGTGTGTGTGTGTGTGTGTGTGTGTGTGTGTGTGTGTGTGTGTGTGTGTGTGTGTGTGTGTTGTTCGTTTTGTTTTTGTTTTGTTTTTGTTGTTTTGGGGTTGTTGTTGTTGTTTGTTTGTTGTTGTTTTGTTGTTGTTGTTTTATTTGGGGGGAGGGGTTGCAGGTGTCAGATGCTTCCCACTTTTGGTGAAACCCACGAGCGCTGGTGTGGCACTGACAATCCCGTAGGAAAATATTCACTGCGATATCGGGTTTCGAACCCATGCGGCGGTTTAGACGACTGGGTCAGGCGTGGACCCCTAGCTGTTTGTGTTGTGTTCGTTCGTCGAAGCCATGGTGTATATAGATCGTTTCTTGTGGTTTTCGACCAAGACTCGATTATTTGCTGGTCGTGGTGATATAGCTGGAATAGTACGAGCTACACGGCGTCCAGCATCACTAACTCACTCACTACAGATTTTCAGAGAAGATTCACGCATATATTATTCATATACACCACGAGCTTGTGTATATTTCCAGTCTCATGTAGGTAATTCCAGGAGTGAAACTGAGACACCATCTCTGTTAAATTAGTTTCCTATTAACTTCTAGATTAAAAGATATTATAAAATTTGAGTTGGCAGACAAACAAAGTGGGTTTTAAATTACTTGAACACGCGTTTTGAGTCTGATAATCGTCCCCAGCTTAGAATTTATCGTTAAACGGAACAAACGCGAATGCAGGTTCTCGGAAAATGGGCATTGTGTGTTCACAAGTTAGAATACAAGTGTCTACCCGGTGGGGAGTGCAGCTTGGACTTAGTGCCCAAGGCTACTTAATGAATCGGACCCTTGAAGATCCGGGTTAGGATTGGTCTTCAGCAACCAATGCGTGTCGTAAGAGGCGACTATATGTGTTTCATTTGTTTAAATGTGATCACTTTCTAACAGAAAGACAGTCGTTACTTACTTCATGTTATATAGTAAGACCTAGCACCATAAAACTAAAAGAGTTATTCTCCACCCCAAAAATCGGAATATTACGTAAACTTGCCATATTCTTTTTTATCATTAACAAAACCTTCTCTCGATAATGCTATTTGTAATTCTGCCATGTACAGTATGTATCTATAGGTGTACATATTAGTATATGTTTCGTATGGCGCGTGAGGTTTTATGCTGTTAAATATTCCTCCTGTAAACCTGTTATGCTGCGGATAGCGACCAAGAGCGAACTAAATTCAGTTCTATAACTGGGTTATATAACGGGATCGGGTGGTCAGGTTCGCCGACTTGTGGATGCATGTCATCGTATCCCAATTGCGTGAATCGATGCTCATGATGTCAATTACTGGATTGTCTGGTCCAGACTCGATTTTTTACAGACCGCCGTCATAGAGCTAGAATATTGCTAAGTACGGCGTCAAACAACAAACAAACAAACAATTAAACAAACAAACTTAATTAATCGGGTGGCCAGGATTGGAGACTTGGTTGACTGCGCGTCATCGTACCCCGTATATATATATATATATATATATATATATATATATATATATATATATATATATATAGTTTACCGGCTAGTCTGTCTTACAGACCCTGATACAAATATATATGAAATACAGCCCATGCAAGTCTATAATGTTTGGCAAGTCTAGATTACTGCAGTATCTGAAAATAAAGAGAGTAACTGGGCTCCCTTTTATTATATTTTTATTAAGATAACTGAACAACTTTTTTTTTCTGTACGATATGTTCATTTCAGAGACTAGATGTTAGTCTATTTACCGGCTATCGTCATAAGTTGGAACGCTGCTGGTGAGGCGTCAGTTGAATGGAGAGAGGAGAGAGGGGGGATATTGTGTATGTGCTCTCATTACGTACGCAGTAACTAATACCAGGTGCTTATCGCAACATCTACAAAATATGTAAGAAAGAAGTCTTGACAGAAGACATTATCTCCAAGCTAGCACTTGTAAAACTATAACAAGTGTATTTGCTGCGACGTGTCATGAGTCTTGCAACGAGATGTATACGGACATTCTTTCATTCATCCCTACATTTATGTGGCTGTTAGATTTCGCTAATGAATTCTTCATTACTTAGTGTGAGTCAGTGTGTTTACTTCGGCTATGTGCTTTAATTTGGCGGAACCATTCCATGCTACACTATCCAAATGAGCAACCTTTTACCTTAAAACTCCCCGCCCATTGGTCGACAGGGTAGATTCCGTCATTTTAACCTCTGACCTCCCTCCTGATTGGCCGAGCGTCGATCCTCGCCGAGCGTGTGAGCGTGTTTACATGAGACAACTCGTGCAGGGAGAAGCCAGCTTCAGTACGCGACCAATTCACATTGATTTTCTCAGAAAACTATGTGAGTTAAACAGTCGCCAAGAAGTTGGATACTTTTTTCACAAGCCCCTGTCTACTGTACGAGTTGGGAGATAGTTCAAGCGGCTTGTCAGAGAAATATCCCCTCACACAGCATTTACACAGTGACGCCGATACGCTAGTGCAACTGTCAGTGCCACTTTGGCGAACATCGGACTGTGAGAGTGTGTGAATGTCACCGGATTATAGTTGACCAGCAATGTGGATAGCCTACCAAACATCATGTTGACACACCTAGTGATCCTCTGTTGCTGCGTCATTTATACAGGTAAGTCGACAACTGTGTCGGTCGATAACTTGACTGACAGAGTTGGCCTACTTTTTCTGCATGATTACATACGCAGGTTGTTAGGTCCGTGCGATATGGAATATATGGCACCATATGATAACACACCCGTGTGATAACACGGTTATCCCACCACCCAATTCTGACGTTCCATGGTACTCCCAGTTCGTTAATTTCTTTAATTGTCACAGTACAGTTCGTGACAGATTTTATCACACGGCAATACTACACCTGTATTTAGATAAGGGCTCTGACGATGACTGTCGCAACTTGTTTCGCATTCTAAGTCCTGTTTGCCGTGAGGACATCTTTTCTTAAACGTGTTTCGGTGTTTTAATAAGGAAATGAACTGGTGACTGTAGAACAAGGAATGCCGGATACAGATACAAGTATCAGCCTTGTATTATATAACAGTTCAAGTCACTGAACACATCGATTTGTACTTAATAACATAATATATCATCATGCGTTCAGGGTAAATAAGGTCAGGTGTAAGCCTCGCCCAACAAATTGTGTGTATGTTTTCAGGAAATGACGTCTGATGTTATTGATCAATCTATTTGCCGGATAATTGTGCTAAATTATTTTAAAGTAGTTTTTTTAAATACAAGCAAAAGATTCACAACTTTTGCCTTTTTAGATAATATTTATGAGCAATGCAAACAGGATCTAACAGACATGTAGATACTCACTTTTACTTCAATCCATACTGTTTGAACTACATGTTACAGTGATACAATAAAAGATAACATTATTTTGTGAGATATGTTCTTCAAGTCTGGTTTAATTTAATAAGGGGGTGGGGTGTTGTATTGGTTATTGACATCAAATATGGTCCAGTTGTGTTCTTTAATGTATCAACATTTTTTTCTTAAACCATGATGAAGTATTGAAGGCATATAAATGCAACATTATGTATGTAGTTATTGGGTAGGAGTTGTCATAAGCGTTATTTCAAACATTTTCAGAAAATATATATACAAGCTAAGAATATACTTATGTTGAATGGGAAATATGGTCAGTAACTTTGAGTGGAGATGTAGGTGAGAGGTTAATCAATTCCTTGTCTGCCCGCCAAAAAGTAAGCTGACTCTACAGATAGTATTTGGCTTAGTTAGCAGAGGTTGGCCATGGAGATGTTCAAAGATCCTTCATTGCAACGCGCGCACATTCTTGCGACTTATTTTGGCACACACAGTTACTGGAAATGGGCTCTGATTCCTAGAAACAATGAAGGAGGAGTCTTACTGTGACAATGCTGCTAAGTCACCAATAAAAAGTTGGGAAAGAAAATTTTGGATGTACGGATGACCAGTCGTAATTGAACCAGGAGGACAACCATTTTAAGACCCAAAACTATCGCCAAATTTATAATTTTTGTTAAAAAACAAACAGCATTGTTTCACTTTTGTTTGAACATATAAGGTGGTGATAAGCAAACTTATCCACTATATTGCTGGCTACTCAATCTTCTGTAAATTCCTTCGACTCAGATGTCTGTCAACTGATGCTGAATGGAGTTCTTGCTCCGTGATAATCTGTATAGTTAATGTTTTATGAGTGTGCTTTTCAGTTTCTCTCGTTTGTCAGGATAAGACATTTCAGCCTATAGATGTAGTGTTGATTGCAGTGTATTTGGATAACAAACGCATGTAGGTCTAACATACATTATTCATACTGCATATGATCCATTGATTATAATTGTTGATGTTGTGACAGTGGCTCTATTCCCTTTTAGGTTATTGTTATTGGATCAAAAATGCTATGGTAATGATAAACGTTATTGGATGATTAATGACACTGATTCATCACATATAAATCAGGCTAATGATCATGTAAATAGAATTGTTGAAATTGTTAAAAAGACTTCAGGTTTTTCAGGAAGGTTCAAATAGAAGTTTTCATCAGAACATAAACATGTTTATTGTTCTGTAGTATGTTTTGGGTTTTGCTGTTTAATGCTGCAATCAGCCATAATCCATCTATCAGTACATCACAGCGGCCTGTAAATAATTGTATAGTCATACTAGTGATTGATATTATGAACAATGACCCATGCCATCAGTTTATCATGACACGGGGTCCACCAAGTCACCACGTCAGATTTGTCTGTTGTTTAACGCCACACTCAGCAATATTCCAGCAATATGACAGCGGCTTGTAAATAATCGTGTGTGGCCCAGATAATCCAGGGGTTGACATCATGAGCATCGATCTATGCAATTGGGATACGATGACATGCATGAAACAAGTCAGCGAGCCTGACGACAAGCATAGTCGCCTATTACGGCAAGCATGGGCTGCTGAAGACCTAATCTACCCCGGATCTTCACGAGTCTGCCCACCTGATAACACGAAGCCCTCACCCTGGTGTATGAAAAAGAAAATCAAACCCCTTCAAACTTAAGTTATGAGGTATTCTAAAGTTAATAATTCAACTTATAAATGTCAATACTGTGTTCCTTTTCTTACAGATTTCATGTAGAAGCTTAGTTTTTTTCTTTTTGTAGGAGAGGGTGTGATCAATTTACCCTAGGGCAATATAAACCATTGTAAACACAGAGCTGGAGCGACTGACATCCTTTCGTCAGTGACAGTGTCCCACTTACACACAGCTGGATACGAATCCGACCATAGAGACATCAAGTTGATAAGTAGATCATGATCATGATGAAGACAAGCCCCTGGTATTGCTGTTCATTGTCCTCCCATTGTGTAATGACCTGGTAATGATGTAATCATGTTTAGTAACGAGTGCAATCAGGGGATTATAAACATGCTAGACTTCATCGTTACATCCTCCTATTGTGTAGTGCCATGATCACTGAATACACACAGGTTGTCAGACAGCCAACTGTAGTGTGTGGTAGCACAGTAGCTCCCTAAGCCTGTAGTATACCTCTGTGTGTTCAGAGCATTTGGTGCTTGTGATTGGCAGGATTACTGGCAATACAACCGAACCAATGTCTGTGCTCCTGAAGTGTGATGGATTGGCTATCAATAGGGTGTTAATCATTATAATCACACAGTCTTGGTCTCCCTTAGTGTTCGCGACCACTGCAGTAAACCTTTAAGCCTTTATGTGCACTTGGGTTCTAATATCTGATGTTTGATCAAAAGATCTATGCATGCTTTTTATACATAACAAAAAAAACTTACTACTTGAAAATACTATCTGTCACATATGACTTTTATTTGGATATGCTGCTATAATGAGGACATTTACTTGATACTTGTATAAAATGAGTTGGTCATGTTTTTTAGATGTCATACAGCTGCTGACATACAGAAAGGCTGTGTGATACTGAAGCATACATGAAATTACTGTTAGTCTGTGTTAGAGTAATTGAAAACATCTCATGGAATACCAGCAACTGTTCACAGCAGGCTGTGTACTCAATACTGTAAGTAGGCCAGCTTTAATGGATGTGTAGAATTACGTTGTAAACCATATCACATTTATGTCACTTTCTAGTTTGCTGGTTTCATTCCAAATAACCTTTTCTGGCTAAACGAGGAACCTGCATGATTAGGACATTAATCGTATTGAAAAGTGGTGTATGATACAGTTTCCCAGCAGTCCGCTTGTTTCAACATCAGCTTTGGGAATTTCTGTAGGCTTGACTGTCTGTATAATTATGTGACAAAAAAAATAGGAATTCATCATTTATTTTTGTTGAGTGAGTTTTGAGAACTGAAATATATATTTAGTGGCTTCCATTATGTTCATGCTTGAGTTTTCAAAGAGGACAGTCGCCTGACATTTCACTGATTGACCAATGGTATAAATATCACAGCACTTATCAACACCTCATAAACAGTGGTTTCCTGCACCATGATAATGGTTTGACTTACACAGGAAGAAGGGAATCATATCTGTTGATACATTGTTACATGCCACAGATGAATCTGTCTGAATGCATTGTCTGTGTGCATTGCCTGGTGCTTGATACATTGGTTGTGCTACTGTCATTTGACAGTTTCATCTGTGGGTACTTGATACATAATGTTACATTTGACAGTTTCATCTGTGGGTACTTGATACATGATGTTACATTTGACAGTTTCATCTGTGGGTACTTGATACATAATGTTACATTTGACAGTTTCATCTGTGGGTACTTGAAACATAATGTTACATTTGACAGTTTCATCTGTGGGTACTTGATACATGATGTTACATTTGACAGTTTCATCTTTGGGTACTTGATACATAATGTTACATTTGACAGTTTCATCTGTGGGTACTTGATACATAATGTTACATTTGACAGTTTCATCTGTGGGTACTTGATACGTAATGTTACATTTGACAGTTTCATCTGTGGGTACTTGATACATAATGTTACATTTGACAGTTTCATCTGTGGGTACGTGATACATAATGTTACATTTGACAGTTTCATCTGTGAGTACTTGATACATGATGTTACATTTTACAGTTTCATCTGTGGGTACTTGATACATAATGTTACATTTGACAGTTTCATCTGTGGGTACTTGATACATAATGTTACATTTGACAGTTTCATCTGTGGGTACGTGATACATGATGTTACATTTGACAGTTTCATCTGTGGGTACTTGATACATAATGTTACATTTGACAGTTTCATCTGTGAGTACTTGATACATGATGTTACATTTGACAGTTTCATCTGTGGGTACTTGATACATGATGTTACATTTGACAGTTTCATCTGTGGGTACTTGATACATAATGTTACATTTGACAGTTTCATCTGTGGGTACTTGAAACATAATGTTACATTTGACAGTTTCATCTGTGGGTACTTGATACATGATGTTACATTTGACAGTTTCATCTTTGGGTACTTGATACATAATGTTACATTTGACAGTTTCATCTGTTGGTACTTGATACATAATGTTACATTTGACAGTTTCATCTGTGGGTACTTGATACATAATGTTACATTTGACAGTTTCATCTGTGGGTACTTGATACATAATGTTACATT